GCAGCTGCCATGGGACAGCGGGGACTGCAGGCCTTTAGACCAGTGCCTGCAGTCCTGTACACACTCTCTGTCCCTGGGCTTGGAAATCAGGCACCGTCCCTTTAAGACAGCCCTCCTTTGTATGCACTGGCTGGAACTCATCTCAGCTCTGGGTTTCTGCCGACTAAATCTGCAAAGCAACATTTAAATAAATAAATAAATAAATAAATGAAAGCTTCCCTTGTTGGCTTTCTTTTCACAGCCGGGAACAATGGCCCCTTGTTGTTTGGCCACTTTAATCCCCTTCATTAAATTGGAGCCTTGGAAAGTATTGGTGAGGAGGCCAGTGCTGGACCGTGCCCCTGCCTGCCAGCGGACACCTTACAGATTAACCCTAACTCAACCCTAACTCGGTTCTCTGTTCTCAGCTCAGGCCCTCCCGCATGGTGGGGGCGGTGGTACTGTGACAGGATGGCTCCTTTGATCTGGCTCCATTGTGCTCAGGCTACTGCCCTCCCCAGTGGCCATTCCTTTAGAGAAAAGGGTTTAGCCGCCTCCCTGGCACAGAAGCGTGGCCACAGCACGTGGCAGTTGGAGGAGGGGGGAGTTGTTTGCTGTTCTGCCGTCTGGCCTGTCCAAGCAAGCACTCTGGTGCAGTTTAACCTAGTGATCCATAGCGGCAGGTGCAGATAGGCTTCCCTGCTGGTGCCCCCTTAGAGTGGACAGGACCACCCGTGCCCCTGCCCTCTCCCCCTTCTCCCCGGCATCATTCTGCCATTCACAGTGCCTCAGAGTCACCAGGTCCTAGGAACCCCCACACTGCCAGCACCCCAGCATTCACGTCCATCCTTTGTGTTAAATGAAACAAAGTATTCTGTCATCGGGGTGTGTTTTCTTATGGCACGAAGGCTTGAACTGAGGATTTGGTGTTGCATTGATAAGTTTGTGCACAAGTACTTGTTAAAATGTTAGGTTTTTCCTCATTCAGCAAAAGTCCAGGAGAATAAAATAAGATCTAGGTTGTTTTTGTCTTTTACGTTCTTGGTTCTTTTTAAACCCAAATGGAAGCAGCATTGCGATTTCAGGTTTCTAAATGCTAGGGGAAGAAGTGACTTAGAGATCGTGTGGTCAGTGTCAGAAGAATAAATGTCTTGGTCTTTATTCTAGTAGCAAATGGGCTTGGAGCTGTTCGTGTCTGACTTGAAGGGCACAGAGGCCTTGTTTTTCTGGAAGCTGTAGGCTAGAGTGTAGGTTCTCACTGCGAGACCGCCTAAGCACAGGCTGCTTTCCCATTGCTTGGTCCCAGACCTGCCCCAGGCAGCCAGAGCCCCTGAACTCGGTGGTGGTAGAGCTGGTAAGTGATGTTGGGCTCTTTTGTGGCTAATTATTATGGCAGAGTCACTGCAACTCCTGGCTTCCTCCTGTGCCGCAGAGGGTTTAGCTCACCTCATTTTCTTCTCTTGAGTAGCTTGTCCTAATCTTTGGTTCTTTTATTTTACCTTTGGAGTCCTGTATGTGTGTCTGCTGCACTGTGGACTTTTCTCCTGGTCTTTGCTCAGGCCTCTACCTCATGTATCCTCTGCCCCTCACGTGGCCCTGTCCTGTCACACCTGTCTCCTCCTTCATAGTTCCGTTGTCACCCTTGATGGCACACGTTTTGTTCTTTATCCTGAGCGAGCCTTTCATGCTTTTCCAGCAGGCAGATTCCAAAAGCTAACAACCGGCAGATACAGAAACAGAAACAGAAACCGCTCACCCCGGGGCCCAGTGGGCCCTGCCCGCTTTGATGAGCTGTTCCTAGCACCCCTGGTTGCCTAGGACCTCCTGCTTTTTTCCTTCTGGGATCCCCTTTAGTCGTGGATTTTGTTTTGGGTTTGTTTTTTTTTTTTTTCTGTTTCTAAGTACTTTTTATTTTGCTAAGAGAAAATGGATCATGCCTGTTCATTTTGTGTGTGTTCCCAGTATCCCTGAGATGGGGTCTTGTGTGTAGCCATGCTGGCCTCACATTTACGCCCCTTCTTTTATTTCCGACCTCTTTCGCTCTTCCTGATGTCCTTCACAGAGCCCTTGGCTTGCTTTCTGTCCACCCAGATCCTTGTTTGTCATCCTCAGGTTCCTGAGCTAGTCCCTGTCCCTTGTACCCCATCTTCTCTAGAAGTCCCTTTACGAACATGTGACTGGGAGATCCACCTTCTGCTCCTTGGGTGTCTGAAGTGATTCTAGCTTGCTCTCCCAGTTGACAGAGAATTCGAGGGCCCAGTTAGAATTTGAAGGTGCTCACTGGGCAGTGTGGACATCTTCTCTTGTGAACTGATACGATCCTTCCCTCCTTGGACTTTGTTGTGTTTATCTCATGGTAGGACTTTAAACTTTGAAGAGTTGGCCTGCTGCTCCCTGTTCTTAGGTCTCTTCCTCTTGCTCTTTTTACAAGCATACCTTAGTTTTCTCCTAAAGTCTCTTCTTGACTTCTTTGTTTAGGAAGGAGGACTGCAGGGCACACAGAAAACATTAACTTGCAGGAGTGTATTCTTTTTATGTAACTTTCTTTTTTGTAGCTTCCAAGCCTTTTAAGGTTTTCTCTTCTCTGGTGTCTGTTTGCTCCAGGGTAAGTTTTTCTGTTTTGGATCTTAGTCTTTCTCTCTCAGGCTGTAGATGTGATATAAGAGTGAAGCTTGATGGAGCAGGCAGAGGCCCTGGAGAGATTGGGCTCGGGGCGGGGTGCTTTGTAAAGGTGAACAGGCAGGAGCCTCCTTTGCCACAGGCTGCTAGGTCTCCAGGTATCAGCTCTGAGCCCCACACCCCCGCACGCCCTCCCCCCAACCCCACCCCTCCTCGGCCTGGCAGCTTGCTCACCAGCAGTTGGTCTAGTTCTGCTTTGCCTGGGGATCACTGAGTACTCCAGTTCTTCCGTATATAGAGCTCTGTGTTGGGTGACACAGTGGTATCCGGGCTTGAAGGCCTCTGCTGTCATGGAGTCGGCGTTCTGGAGTGATGCACTAGCGCTTCCTGTGTATACCTCCTCTGTCTGGGAAACTTGTTGAAATCTCTTCTCATAACCTGCTGGAATGTAGGTTTTAATTTTTTTCCTTGTTTTAAAAATAATATATTGAAAATCAAGAACTGAGAAGCACAGTTTGAATGTATAGTGCTGGTAATGGACTCTGTCTGACCTTCTAGAAGAATTGCCTTTTAGTGATGAAAGTTGCCCTTAGTGATGAAAGTTGGCTTCTCGATGTGCAGCCAGCCATCTGGAGATAGGATTGAATTTGTATGATCAACCTTGTAATAGGGATCTGGAATTTAGTCTAGCCTCTGCTCCAGTGGAGACTGATTGATGTCTGATTAACCAGATCTGTAAGCTTCAAATCAAATCCCAATCATTGATACCCCCAGTTAATAGATATTTAAAAAATGAACTACTGCCCCATAGTTTCAAAACCACATTATTTCAGAATATCTTTCTTCTAGAACCTCTTCTGTATCCTACCTGGGCATCAGGCAGACGTGTCATCCCAGCTCTGTGCTGTGCAGCAGATACGCTGTGATCTACAGGTGCAAGTGTGTTTCCTAGCAGGCCCTGTGGGCTCCACTGTCTGGCATACTTACCAAGCTGCTACCTCATCAGTGTGTCTCCAGTGTGAAGTGCTGTTACTGGGGCACTTTGCTTTGTTTTTATAGAGTGCTCATACATCTCAAACTAGGCATCATTCTTCAAGTGTGCAGTATCAGCACCTGTATAGTACAGCTCTGACTCAAGGACAGACTCAGACTGCCCCTTCCTGTAGTTGTGGGCACCCAGCACCTTGCCATATGGGAACAGGAGCCAACGCTTTGCCTACTCAGCACCAGGCATGCCATGAGGCACTTTAGGTACAGGCATTACCCACAGTCACTTGCAGCCCAAATTATTAAATGGAAAATTCAAGAAGTAAACAAGTCATAAGCTTTAAGTCACATGCCATTCTGAGTAGCAGGTTGAGTTTTGTGCTGTCCTACCCCATCCCTTTCTGCCTGTGATCCTTCTGTGAAATTGTGAGAGAAGGGATTTTACTACGTTACCTGAACTGACAACCAGGTAAGTGGCCATAGTACATGATGGTGCTAGGCTAAGAGAGAAACGGTGTCAGATGCAGGTGTGTGTGCAGAGAAAAGCAGTCTGTGTGGAATTGAGGGCTACCTGTTTTCCAGATGTCTGCTGGAGGTCTCCGAACATGTCCCTCAGGGCAAGGGGCATGGCTATTCCACTTCCTCCTCAAGTCACCATGCAGTGGCGTGAGCATGCCTCCTTAACGACAGCAACACACCTCAAATGGGCTCAGTAACTGTTGAAGTGAGCTGGTGAGGTGTGTGAAAGGCTGTTCTAGTTTGTTCCTCCCACAGAAGAGTCATCTTGAGGGTGCCTGCCCAGCACTGGTGGGCATGGGTGAGGAAATAGTCTCTGGGGTCTGTGGCAGTCTCACCGTGAGAGCTGTGATGGGGAATTGCCGCTGTTCTGATGGTGGGAGCACGCTTTGAAACATTTAAACAGGTAGAAGTGTATGAAGAAGAGTCTCATAATCCCGGCTCCCAGAGTGCAGTGCTGTTAGGTGTGCTTTGAGACCTTCTAGCCCTTGTAGTGGCACGGAGCGTTCGTGTTACTTTGTAGCTTGCCTCCCACTCCCACTTCAAGTGCCTTGGGCAGCTCCTGGGCCATAGAGTGACACTTTGGACCCTCAGGGAGCTGAGGCCTGGCCTCTCCCAGCTTGAAGGGATGAAGGCAGCCAGGTAGACACTAACACCCACCACTTTACTCCCCACGGCGAATTTGCCCTTCGGTTCTTCCTTCCAAGCAGCCCGTGCTGGGCTGGATGAGTGCTGAGGGTCCTGCCGCTCCTGTGGCCCTTCTGAGAACTGGGTTCGTAGCAGGCGGCTGTTTCTGAAGCTGACTTCCAGTTTCTTTCTTGCTCACAGTCTCCCTGCGTCTTTGAGTTTTTGTTACTTGGGTGAACTAAATGCTGTCTCGGTGGCATTTCTCTCTGCAGTTCCCAGTGACCTGACTGCGGAGGAGCGACAAGAACTGGAGAATATCCGGAGGAGGAAGCAGGAGCTGCTGGCTGACATTCAGGTAGGAGGGCAGTTGGGAAGTGGACCCACATAGAAGCCAGGGTGACACACCTGGTTTGTGACTGAGTGTGTCCTTCACGGGTGCCCTTGAGGCACGCATGTCTGGCCTGTGCTTGCACAGCTTGGAACAGAGTGTAGGTGTTAGCACTCACCTCTGCTTTCCCAGAAAGCAGAGTCTCAAAAATGCTCACCCTGCTGCCATTTGTCAGCTGGAGTGACTGAGTGACTGAGTCCTCCTAGCTGATGTACCAGGGGAACAGGCCTCGGGTTTGCTGGTGCCTTGGGTAGGTGTGGCCCTGCCTCTCTCCCCGATGGGGCATGAGATAGTGTTCTGCTTCTTGTTTGTTTGGTTTTGGTTTGGTTTTTGTTACTGGCTTCGAGGTAGAATCTCACTGTGTAGATCAGGCTGGCCTGGAACTCACAGAATTCCTCTTCCTTCCCAGTGTTGGGATTGAAGGCTTGCGCCACCACGCCTGGCAGAGCTCTGGTTTTTTGAACATCAGTCCTTTCCTGGTCATGGGTTGGAACTGAAGGTACCTTTATAACCCACTGTAAGGGTGGAATCTCACATGTTTACAGGGGACATCCCTAGAGACACCTGGTGATGGTGCACAGTGATTTTACGGTTCTTCCAGGTTCCTTTACACAACTGCCAACCTGCGTTGGAAACAAGGCATAGAAACTGTTTTGAGTTATTTTAGCCTGAGCTAGCAAATGCCACTCTTCTCAATCCTTTGTAAAATGTCGGGTGAAAAAAGGGGGCCTGAAACCTGCCCTGCCCCAGGTGGTTGAGACTCTTTGGGTGGTTTGCCTGGTTCTTCGGTTCCTGTTTCCTGCTAAATGTTGGGAAGGTGGAGCTGCGTCAGGTCAGTCCCTCCCCTCCAAGATTGTGCAGAAGGGCCAGGCTGGCAATAGGTGTAGTGCCAGGGGCGAATGGGCAGCGGATTTAGAGGGACCGTCCCTCGGCCAGCATGGGTCAGCAGTGTGGGCCCGGCATGGACTCTGCTGGCCCAGCCTCTGGCTACATGGGTGCCACTGTGCCGCCACACCTGTTTGGGAGCTGCACATTGTTCTGAAAAACCACGCCGAGGTGCCATTTCTCAGGGTAGTGCACATGCCTTGTGAACGTCTCTCCTAGGCTCTGGGAGGTGAAGAGTCGCCTTTTCTGCCTTTTGTAGCCCTAAGACGCTTACTGTCCGGTGGGAGTCCAGTCAAGATTTGCTGAGTAAATAAATTCTCCTAGGTGACTTTTTGGTTTCTGTATGTGCCCCGTTTTGTTCAGCTGTTTGGTGGTGTTGGTGGAGGGAGTTGTGTGAGAGGCTGTGACTCATCACACTGGTCTGCTGCCTTCCTCCTGGTAACTCTCCTTCTGTTTACAGAGGCTGAAGGACGAGATAGCAGAAGTCGCTAATGAAATTGAAAGCCTGGGCTCCACAGAGGAGAGGTGAGTCCACCCTGCTGTGGGCAGGCTCCTGCTTCCAGCACTTTGGTCACCTGTCCTTCTGTCCTTCTGCATACTGCCTGGACACATGTAGGGGGAATGCAAATTTTGTACCTTGTAGTCCCAGCGAGCACACAGAAGCCCTCACTCCAAACTCTGAGCCTTCACTGCCAAGGATCTTGAACATAGGAACAAAACTGAGCTAGAAACTGCGAAGGCACCGGAAAGCCTTAGTGCTCTTGGTTGTGTGAATTAGCCCGTCATCCCCTGTTCTCCACTCTGTTTGTATTTTAAGGGTTATTTTTTGTGTGTGTGTGTAAAGGAAAAGTTTAATGGGCATTCTAATTTAATTTCAAAAGACTGGTGTGCCCAGTTATGTTTGAGTATAATGTCATTTATTCATACCTCCTTAGTGCTTAAGAGAAAAGAATGTACAAGTGATCAGGTCATGGCATGTAAAGATGACAAGGAGAGTCTGTTTTTTTCTTTTAATGATATGAAATGTCAGTGACTCTGAGAGTTCAGTTTTGAGTAGGATTCCCAGACCATTTCTAACCGGTTCATGCGATAAATGAGCTGCTTCCAGGCCCCTCTGTGTCTGTATTTTTCTAACCCTAAGCCTCCCTTGTCTGGCTTCCCAAGGCCATTTGATATGTTACTGTAAACCTGTGTGGGCGGTACCTTTAGGGGTGAAGGAGTGGTGTGTCCACAGCCGACTCAACACCGTCAGCCTCTGGGGTGTCTGGAGTTACAGCTTTCTTCATTTCTATTCTTGAAAAAATCACAGAGACTGATAAATTACAGTTCATCAAAATTTAAACCTTGTGCTCTTAGAAAACATAACTGTTGACCTAGGGGGTAATATCTGGTAGAACATTTGCCTAGCTGTGGGAAGCCCTAGGTGGAACAGCCCCAGTACCACCACCACCACCACCACCAGCCCCAGCACCACCACCACCACCACCATCAGCACCACCACCACCACCACCACCACCACCACGTGATAACTCTTAAGTGGATGGGCAATCACAGCATAGGAGACGATGCCTGCAGCATGTACATCTGAAAGAGACCTGTGCCCAGAATAGGAATGCATGCAGTTCGGTGACGCACACAGCCCACACAGAGGACAGGCCAAACCCTGTTCAAACCTTGGACAGATCATCTGCAGAAGAAGCTGTTTGTGTAAAGATGCATGGATGAGCTCCGCACCGTCAGTCCTGAGGGCCGATCATAAAACTGCTGTGAGGTGCAGCTTCACACCCCCGATGGCTAGAATGAAAAGGGCTGGTGATACCCGGTGCTGGAGAGTACTAGCCAGAGTAACATGGACTCAGCATGTGGGAAGACAGTTGTCAGTTTCTTAGAACATTAAACACAGGTGTTTACTTAAAAGATGAAAAATACATCCACAGAAAGACCTGCCGAGGACATTCTAGCATCCTCACTAGGGTAGCTCCAAAGGGCCCGGATGCCCACCAGCAGGTGAATGTGTAAGTGGGCTGCAGCAACTGGCTGTTACTCCGCAGTACTAGAACAGGGGGCTTCTGTCCTGAGGCTCTGCAACGAGGAAACTAGGCTGCACCAGCAGAAGTACAGCAGTGGCTGCTGTGAGGTAGCAGAGGGAGGACTGGCCAGAGAGGGACACAGGGAAACCTAGTGGGAAGGTGGGAGCAGGCTTCATCCAGAGCTGTGGCCACCAGGGTCTCAACGCCCATCAAAACTGAACCAGCCACTTGGGATGTGTGCATTGTCCTCAGTGTGAGTTTTTCCTGGATTAAACAGTAAAGTATTGGCTTTTTCCTGATTCTAAAGGGAGTGTGTGTGTGTGTGTGTGTGTGTGTGTGTAATTTTTACATTATATTTAGTTATTTTGTGAGGGTGGGCACACACATGCCACAGCACACATGTGTATCTCTGGGATCCAATTCAGGTGGTCGGGCTCGGCTGCAGATGCCTTTTCCCAATCTCACCAGCCCAGAACATGTGTTTATTGTTGGAAATTGACAAAATAGAGCAAAACGTGAAGAAAAACATTTCCCATAGTCACCAATGCAGAAGATAACCATGATTAATATTGTAGTATATTTCCTTTCTGTGTGTTTTAGAGTCTACAGTATACTTGGAATTCAGGGTACCAGTTGCTTAATTTCCTGTGAGTTGTCACAGAGTACCAATGAGCTGACGTCCCCAATGTTAGCGTTAGGCACTGAGAGCACTCAGCTAGCGAACTTAAGAAGACCAGCTCTCCTGCTCACCAGGGCTTAGTCCTCTCCGTGGGGTCTGAGTGGACAGCAGGTACCACAATTTTCAGTAAACAAGAAAGACTGTTATCTGATGTAACTTAAAACATGAAGAACCAACCCCCTTTAAAGATAGCATAGGGGCTGGTGAGATGGCTCAGCAGATAAAGGTGCTTGCCTTGCAAACTTGACCTCCACATGTGTGTCATGGGATATACACCACACATGCACATCCTATGCGCACACACACTCAAAGTAATAAGTAATTTAAAGGTAACATATTAAAAAGACCAACTTTCATCAGTGCATCTAGTGCTATGAGCCCAGGAGCTACAATTCAGTTGTTTTTGGTTTAAAGTACCCACTGATGAGCCCACCAGGCTCCAGTAGACAGTTCCAAACCCATGGTCACACAGACACATCTATATACACAGTGATAGGTAAAGTAGGCGATGGATAAATCCGGTTGATCATGAGAAAGCACCAGGATACAGATAAAACTCCAGCGGAATGGAATGGAGTTTATTAGCATAGGAACACCTGGGACAGATTCCCTTCCAGGCAGGGAAAATGCCTGCCCCAGGTTGTGAGCTGGGGTCTTTTATAGGGGGAGGCCTCTGAGGGGTGCAGAAGGCGGGAAGATATATATATTTTTTAAAGTTGGGGGGTGGGGGGGAGTGGAACTGTTAAAACCTGTCCTCTTTAGAGATCAAAGGGGAAGCCTGCTGTGTTGGCCAAACAGTGGAGAAAAGTCTGCTTCTCTTGACTTCAAAGACCAGGGTGCTTACTAACTCGGTTCCCTTTTCTCAGGGGCTTGCGAGGTCCCTGAGGCCCTGTTGGCAGGGCTGTCTGATCCCTAACACACAGGATCTGATACTCATATTCTGCCTTTTCTGTAGGTGGGTTGTCATGTTTGTAATCAAAGGCCTGACGCCAACATTTCATGTAAATAACCCTAAACGCTATTTAACAGGTAGAAACCACTTAGTACTGTGGGACATAACACTTGTAAAGTTGACAGAGCTCATCCAGTAGCAGCACCATTGCTGTTGTGTGTGGAACCCTTGCCCTTGGGAGACTCCTGTGTGGAAAATGGAGAAAGCCTCTGCTGAGGACTTGAGCTGGACAGGTAGAGACGGAAGCTGACTTGTAGGGACCTGATGACACTAACCAGCCACCTGTGGTGAATGTCTCAGCAGTCGGAAGCAGCAATACTGGATGGTGAGGGTTAGGGGCTGACCCCTGGGGAAGCAGTAAAGTTAGCCAGCCACCTCCTGTGAGCACCCAGGGTGGGCAGAGACTGTAGCTGCGCAAACTGCTGAGTGTGCTCCTGAAGGCTGGGCTTACTGGAGGTTGCAGGAAGCCTTCAGTGAGGGACCAAACCAAGGCACAGGATGCTGAGAGCTACGTAGTTACGTGCCTTCGGAGATCTCTGAGTACCACATACTCTTACAGGAAATCACGCAGCAGCCATTTCCTTGTGGTATTTCTTTGGAAATACGGGTCAAAGTGATCTTCCTGAATTTAGAAAAAAGTGAGTAGATAACCGTTTGGACCCAGGAATTCCCAGACATCTGGTGTCTGCTGTCTGTTCTAGCTAAAGCTAAATGGTGTACTCCTTCTGTTCCCGTGAGGACCCTGTCACCTTGTGTTCTGGTTTCTTAACATCCTCAGGATTTTCAGATACTTTTCCAAACCTCAAGACAGGAACCTGGCCAGGCATGGTGGCACGTGTCTGTAATACTGGGAGACCTGCCTTTGCTGTGTAGTGAGTTTTAGGCCAGCCCGGAATACAGAACAAGGCCCTTTCTCAGCCAGAAAGAAAGAAAAGAACAGGAGCTTTATACCTTTGAGGATGTGCTCCTTAAGACAGTCACATAATTTATTTCTGAGCAACCCTTTGTTCTGTGAACTATAAATAACTGTTGTGGCCGTGCTTCCCAAATTTGAGTGCTCCCCAGAATTGTAGGAGGCTTCAAAAATATCTCCTAGAATCCACCCCTGAAACTTCTGAATGACTCAGTGGCCCAGACCTGGCAACTCAGTTCACATGTAGGATTATATAAAACGGGCAGGAGCCCTGGCCCCCTCACATACCCACTGGGTGAGGAGTTTCGACCCTTTCACAGACCCCCTGGATCAGCAGGAGCCCTAGCCCCTTTGAAGATGCACTGCATCTGAGTTTGCTGTGCTATGGCCCTGGTGGGGTGTTTGTGAATGAGAGCTGGTGTTCTTTACATCTGACGGGCTCCCTCCATGGCCAGTTTGTGGACCACACTTGGAGAAGTATGTCTGTGAATCTGCATTTTTCAGTCTGATACACAGTTTTAAAAATGACCACTCATTTGTACGGTTTCTTAACAACGTAAATACAGAAGAATCGCATGACCCCAACCGTGGGCATCTACCCAAAAGAAAGGAAGTATGTCCATACAAGGGGTGACACCAATGCCGATAGCAGCCCCGGGCACAATGGCCCCAAACTTGAGTGCTGTCATCTGGTGTGCGGCTAAGCAGATGGAAGGTATGCCTGTGGCGGAGCCCCGCTCGGCAGTAGAGGAGTGTTGTGCTTATGAACCTCAACGAGCGTGCTGAGCAAAGGAAGTCCAGACAGTGGTTCTGTGCACATGAGACATGAACAGGCAGACAAGTTCCCAGGGGCAGAGGTGGGAATGTGGGTTTACTAGGAACTGGTGTGAGACATTTTGTTGGACTGATGAAAATGCTTTAAATCTGGGTTATTGGAGTGGTTGCACAGCTTAGTAAGCTCACTGAAGACCATTCAGTTACATACTTAAAATGGGCACAGTCTATGACATGTAAATGTTACCTTGACAAAGTTTGACAAAAAGCATCAGAAGATAAAACCGTGGGCCTAGAGGAAGAGAACAAGTTAGGTGTGGAGCCAGGACCAGGCTTCAGCTGACCTTTCTTAGGCCGGCACATCCTGCCTGGTACCCTCCTAGACCAGTCTTCCAAAACTACATCAGTGGCTGCCCATAAGGACCTCCTGGAACTTCTGCCAGAGCGCTGATGGCTGTGCTTATCTTTCAGGAAAAACATGCAGAGGAACAAACAGGTAGCCATGGGCAGGAAGAAGTTTAACATGGATCCCAAGAAGGTGAGTAAAAGGCAGGCGCAAAGTCGCGCCATCCGTAAGACAGCCTTCCTGGCTCGTGGTCAGGTAGAGCTCGAAGGTGTTTTCCAAGCTGCCGTCTTCTGGAGTAAATGTTGCGTGGTTACCCCTGGTTGTCTTGAGTTCTGGGGTTCTGGTTTCTGACCTGCCAGCCTCGACCCCTCATGTCCACTGGTGGATACTTATCAGTTCTTACTCCAGGCCCGCACCCATTGCTGCCTCTGCCTCTCCTCCCTTTTCCATCTGTTCCAGGCAGGCATGACCAGCTCTTTCTGGTCTTTCTGCAGGGGATCCAGTTCTTAATAGAGAACGACCTGCTGAAGAACACTTGTGAAGACATCGCCCAATTCTTGTACAAAGGGGAAGGGCTCAACAAGACAGCCATCGGTGACTACCTGGGGGAGAGGTGAGGCCTTCTGAGAAAGTGGTTAGGAGATTCATGAAGAAACAAGCTCCCTGTTGCCCAAATTCTGGGAAGACCATGGTCCTGAGGCACAGTGACAGTCCTGAGGCATAGTGACCGTAGTGGTGCTGAGTGAAAGTTCTCTGGGGAATGGCAGCTTACTGCTTGGAGGATTTAGTGAACAGAGCCAGTCTGACATCCTCCTGACTGGATGGCCAGGATTGAGAGGCCTTGTGACTGGGGATTCTAGGGACACCACCTGACTGGAGATCAGGATGGGTCCTGGCCTGGGCATCGGGGTCTGACTTGTCTTTCTGCCTTGTCTCTCACCTGCTAACAGAGATGAGTTCAACATCCAGGTCCTGCATGCATTTGTGGAGCTGCATGAGTTCACTGACCTGAACCTCGTCCAAGCTTTGCGGTATGTACTGTTCATGGAGCTCCTTGGAGAGCGAGAATGTCTATCCTATGTGCCATTTGACTAAAACTGCGTCTTTGGGGATCATTGTGAATATCTTCAAGTGGTTTCAGCAGAAGCTTGTACGGGCCTGTGAATGAGAAAGACAGGTGGTTGGGGATTGCACTGTAGTCCACCAAGAAAGCAGGTGCTGGGGATCTTGGCCTCGGGTCTTCCCAAGATTGGGACCGGAGGTATTTTGGGGAACTTTCTCAGTACTTAAATACTGAAATTATTTCTACTCTTCATTATAGAAAACCCTTTAATTTTTTGCCCCAAAATAGCCGTGTATTTTCATCTCGTTTTAGGAAGAAAAAAGTCAACTTTTAATTGTTTTTGTCAAGGTTATTTTGTGCCTTTCTGAGAAATGAGCCCTGTGTTCTCACTGCTGTAGGTATAATCTAGGTTATCTCTTACGCGATGGTTTCAGTACATGTAGTAATGCAGAAGTAAGCTGGTGACTAGGGATCTGTGTGACCTTTAGAGCTCCATCCTGAATGCTCTGACCTGCCACCTAAGTTAGAGTTCATTTTAAATGGTCAGTGTTGGTGTTTCAGTCTTGTGTGTTATCCTGAAGAGAGCTATTCTTTGGAATAGGAAAATCTTAACTTCTCCATTTTCCTGAGCACTTTACCCTCACTTAAGATCACAGTGATGGGCAACAGTTAAATTAGCTTCTGTTCTGTAAAAGCAGACCAAAGCCCGCCTCATCTCCCTTTACCGTCTGATAGTAAACTCAGCAACAAACTCAGCAGCAGCCTAGCCTAGTGTTCAAAGTGAAGGAATCTCCTGTCCTCACCCTCAGGCAGTTCCTGTGGAGCTTCCGGCTCCCCGGAGAGGCCCAGAAGATTGACCGGATGATGGAGGCCTTTGCCCAACGGTATTGTCAATGCAATAATGGAGTCTTCCAGTCCACGGGTGAGTGAGGAGACCTCCAGTGTCGGGGAGGGGCATTTCCCTTGAGAGTCGAACTGAAGGTCACACCAAAAACATGAACTTGATGGGTACATGTAATGTTAAAAAGTTGGAAGTATTCAGAAGTTCCACATTAAGTCATGACAAAGAGCTAGATGGGGTTAATGGCAGAGTGCTTATCTCACATGCAGGAGTCCTGAGTTCCATCCCCAGCACTCTTAAGAAAAAAATTAAGTGCCAGGAATATAAATCGCAGTTCTTAAGAAGTCTGTAACTATTAACAGTGATGTCGGGGAGCTGTTTGCAGTGACATGTGTCTGTCGCTCAGCTACTCAGGAGGCTGAAGCGGGAGAATTGTGAATTAAATTAAGTAGATTGACTACATAGGTGAGATCTACTCTCAAAAAAAATCATGCTTTGGAAGAGTCTTTATTGGCATATGGGAAAATAAGATTAACAACAACAGAAAAAGCATAATGGGGAGTGGGCATAGTTTAATCCCAGCACTCAGGAGGCAGCAACAGGTGGATCTCTGTGAGAACGAGGCCAGCCTGGTCTACATACCAAGTTCTGGGCCAGCTGGGGCTACAGGGAAGAGACCTTGTCTCAAAACATGTATACACACACACACACACACACACACACACACACACACATATGGTATAGATCACCTATATACATGTGTGTTGGTCCACCTCCAGAAAGGAATGAACTCCCACAGCCAGTGCCACCACAGGGCAGGCTCCTGGGGACGGACTTTGCCCTTGTGAACACACTGTCGGTGTCTGTCTGGGCCGCACGTGTCCATTCTTGAATCAATGGCCAGGTTCTTTGAGGCAGTTTCTAGTGATCTGGTCCATCTCCCGTCTCTGCCCCTTACCACTGGGAGGGTGACCACGTCCATCTTTACTCTTCCCCATCCAGATTATCCCTAGTGCTCCTGCCCTACCCATTGCCACAATAAGTGTCCATGAGGTGATTTATTACTTGGTCATGTTTCTGTAGAAGAGAAAAGGAAGAATAAGTTACCACCGCACAGTGAGATTGTACATCATTTCACCTTCTTTTCTAGTACATCGTATTTTTCATTCTTTTTGACATGAAAAAATAAACATCTTAGGGCTTAAGAGCATAGACTGACTACTCTTGCAGAGGACCCTGGTTTCAGTTCCCACCACCCACATGGTCTAACTGTCTCTAACTCCAGTTCCAGAGGATCCAATACCCCTTTCTGGCCTCCGTGGGCATTGCATGCATGTGGTGGTGCACTTATATGCAGGCAGAATATACATACAATAAGATTTTTTTTAATAAAACAAACAAAAATCTTTAAGACTTGAGTACCTGAAGCCCTTTTGTATGTCTTGCCTCTTTCAAATGGTATATGTGGGGTTGGAGAGATGGCTCAGTGGTTAAGATGGCTCACTGACTGCTCTTGCAGAGGACCTGGGTTCAATTCCCAGCACCCACATGGTGGCTAACAACCATCTGTGACTCCAGTTCCAGGGGAATCTGTCTCCCTCTTCTGACTTTCGCAGGCATTGCACGACACGGGTGCACTTACACACACACAGGCAATACATTCATACACACATACACAAAAATAATAAGAATAAAATATTCAAATGGCTTATGCCTGAGGACACACCTGCACCTTGCCTTGTCCCCCTCTCCTGGCTCATGGCTTTTCCTTCCTGATCTCATCTGGTGTTTGCTGCTGTTCTGAGTGGACATTTCTCGGTGATCACACCCTGCTTCTCTCCTGTAGACACTTGCTACGTTCTCTCCTTTGCCATCATAATGCTGAACACCAGCCTCCACAACCCCAATGTCAAAGACAAGCCTACTGTGGAGAGGTTCATCGCCATGAACCGTGGCATCAACGATGGGGGAGACCTGCCTGAGGAGCTGCTCCGGGTGAGCGGGTCAGAGTGGCCTCATTTCAGCTGGGACAGCCTTGTTTGTAGGAGAGAAGAAGGGTAACTTTCCAAGTGCCTGCTCTCTTAACTTCTTTGCATACATGAACCACACTAAGGCAGCTAAGAATCAGCAAGGGGAGCTTGGCTTCCAGATCTGACGTTAAAGGCCTGAGTAGAGGCCAAGCTGCTATTTTTCCGTCCTGAATTATCCACCAAGCATCTTATTTTTGTCCCTGTGAGCTGCCAAAGAGCAGAAACAGTCATGTTCTTCCTCTAGCTTCTGTGTGCCATACTAGAGGCACACGGTGAGTGCCTTTGGAATGAGGGGAGAGAAAGGGAGGAAGAAAAGATAGTTCTAGATTCAGAGACATGCAATGTCATCTTTTACCCCAGAATCTGTATGAGAGCATAAAAAATGAACCCTTTAAAATCCCAGAAGACGATGGGAATGACCTCACTCACACGTTCTTCAATCCAGACCGAGAAGGCTGGCTGCTGAAGCTCGGTAAGTCCCCTCCCCCAGCCTGGGGGCTCCTGCACAGAGCTCAGGAAGAAGGGCTGTGTGCACACAGGTTCAGGGTGTGGGTTAGGGGGCAGGTTACAGGTGCCCCACAGGGACTACCCTGGGTTCTGTTCTGACGAAGGTCTGCCTCCAGAAAGGAATTGGCTCACAATTGGCCACTGCCACCTCAGGACACAGGCTTCTGGGGACAAACTTTGCCCTTATGAACATTGCCCATGTGTGTCTGGGCCCCATGTGTCCACTCCAGTGGTCAGGTTCTTTGAGGGACCTGGTCCATCTCCCGTCTCTGCCCCTTACCTTTGGGAGGGTGACCAGCCATGTCCATCTCTATACTTCCCATCCCAGAGTATCCCTGGTGCTCCTGCCCTACCCAGTGCATCATCACCTCCCTCTGCATTTGGCTCCCACAGGCAGTGTGCATGGCAAACCTAGAGCCCTTGGCTGCAGCGCGATCCACAGCTCTCTTGCTCGTCCTCCGGCAGTGGGCCCGCCCTTCCCAATCTGAATCAGCCACATCAGTGGTTTATGTCATTCAGAGAAGTTAGAGGTGTCTTCCTTTTCCCTTTGCAAAAGGGAGCCTGAGTGGTTAGGGTTTATGGTCATGCCGTGCCAGGAAGGTGAGCAACGAAATAGGGAACCTCAGTGGGTTCTCACACATGTTCATGTCCACCTGTGACTGCTTCAGTATTCTCAGCACATAGAGAGGCCTCCGGATTCGCTGGACACTGGAGAGTACTTTCTGGTTTCCTTCTGCCTTGGCCTTTGCTGAGCTGAATTCCCACGTTAGGAGGGTGTGTTCCATTAGGCTGACCGTCCCTTCCCATCTCAGTTACTTGCCCTGGTGATGAGCAGTCATTTCACTCTTGACCTTTACTGACAACATCCAGGCAGGCTGAGATGGCACCGTCCACTGCTGACTCATCCAGACAACATAGATTTACATTTCCTTTAAAAAGCCCAGGTCCCTGTGTTTACACATGACTCAATTCATAACTTCCCCTTCAAGCACCCCTTCAGTGATCTGAGCCTCACACTGCCCTTGACTTGGCCAACATTTCATTAATCTCCAATCAGCAGAACCTTTGAAGTTAAGGCTCTGAAAATTTTAACCCCCACGGCAACCTTCTGTTCTGCATTCTTATTGCCAAATCGATAGAGTTAAAAGGAAACGCACTGGAAATTTTAAAAGCATGTCCAACTTTAGACGTGCTTCCCCGCTCCTTGGAAATCTGTTTCAGTGCTAATGCTAAGTGTTAGCTTTGACAGCTGAGAGACTAAAATTAGAACACAGATTATCTTGGTTCTTGTACCAGGATGACATGCAAATTCATGAAAGCATCCTGTATTTTTAAAAATCCAAAGTTTAAGCTGAATGTAATAGCTTACACCTCTAGTCCCAGACACTTGGGAGACAGAGGCAGGAGGATCTCTTGAGCCCAAGAGGTCAGGGCCAGCTGAGGCAGTATAACAAGGCCTTAGCCCAAAGAATAAAAGTTTCACTAATAAGGGGCTCATTCATTTTTGGATCACTGCATTACTTTTTCTAAACTTTCACCAAACCCTAGACTCTCAATACGGTATTTTCATTGTAGCACACCTAGAATCACCCCATGTGCGTGTGTGCTGCAGAGGGTAGGATGTTCTGCCATCTGTAGTTGTGTGTATATGTCCCTGTATGCATAGAGCCATAAGCATGTGTGTTCTTTTGCACACACATATGTACACGTGTGCATTCTTGAGCACACCAGAAAAGTGATGGGCAACTCAAGAAAGATGTTTAATTTTCTCAGGAGTGCGCATCACCCTTTCTTTGCATTGTGGACAGGCTAGCAGACATTGACCGTAACAAAGATAGGTTTGTGGCACCACTGGGTCAGGTTTAGGATACCTCAACTCTTGACAGCTGGGTCGTGGCCTGTAAGGCAAGTGTGCCATATGGCCATGGGTGATTGTTCACCCCATCCGTGCTTTTGGGTTACTTCCCTCCCCAGGCAGACATGAACGTGATGATACATTGCACTTTAAGATTAAGGAATCAGGTTTGATTTCTTTGTTTTAATTTTCTTTTCTCCCTCATTTGTATGTTTCCATGATTTTGGCTCTCCTTTTCCTTGCCCCCAACTCCAGGAGGTATGTAACCCCGCAGCCTGCTCGCCCACTCTGCCCAGGCCACTGTCATTGCTGCAGCGCTTCCGTATTTTGTTATTTTTAGTTCTTTCGTTTTTTAATTGCTGGTAGTAGTGTTGATGCTGCTTCTAACTACTGTACAGTCCCTAGGGAACTGGGCAGGGTCGGGGTGTGGGGCAGAGTTCACGTTCTCCTTGGTGAAGGAGAATGCCGTGCAGCAGCCAGCCAGAGGGAAGGTGCAGAGGTAGAAGTAGTCACGGAGGCGGACGAGGGGCTTGGGAGGGCACAGGGGCCTTCAGAGGACGTCTGTGCACCAGCCTGATCGCAAGCCGCTTCTGAAGTGGGGAAGCAGCCAAGAAAAGAGAACGAAATCTTGACTTCCTAAAGCCATATGCTTCTGACACCAAGACTGACAAAGAATTTGGGAAGAGGTTAAGTTAGATGACACTTCGGATGTTTGCCTTTGCATGAGAAAGAGACGTGGTGTTTTCCCAAACCCAAACTGATGCCAAGTGAAAATTGTAAAGGCTCAAAACCAGAAAGCTCTGCCTGCAGTCTTTGATTCTAGTTCCTGGGTATCCGAGAAGGGCCTTCCAGCCCGGCTCCTTTGTTCACAGGTGGGGGTGCTGTTTTCTTGGCTTGGGGGAGGCATGTGGTTCTCACCCTCCTCTTTTTTAATAAGTCACCCTCAAAACCCAAATTGGCCTCTTAGTTCTGTGGTTGCTGATTTGGGGGAAACGTGGGGGAACCAGAGAGCTCCTCAGGTCTGTACGTAAGCATGACTGGGGCAGAGCCACCCTTAAGAGAAAGCCCCAAGCATGGGCATCCTCTGCCATGCTGGGATGAGGCAGGCTGAACTCTTAGGAAGACAGTACCTGCTCTTCCGTCTGAGGGGGTCCCAGAGGACCTGAGCTCTGCAGTGGGAGGGGCCCTGTGAGTTCCACAGGGACTGTCCTAGGCGCACATTGATCTGTCTGCTTGTCCCATGTCTGTTTCTCTTTCCACGTGGAAGTGTTCCCCGTGGGCCCGCAGTAATGCTTCATGGTAGGGGCTCTGTGATGCAGCAGCTTGTCCAGGGGACATAACCAAGCGTTTATAACCAGGCAGAGATCTTTTCCCAGCTTTGCTTTTCCTCCTTGATTTCCTGCCATCTCGTTTCTTTTGGTATCTGACCCCCTTTTTCCATTGTCTCTTAAGTTCTGTTGTCACTGGGGTAGTGTCCTATGACTGAGTGCATGGGAGGTTAGCATGGGTTGGCCATCCCTGTGCATCAGATCCTGTGTGGGAAATGGTCTGCCCCAGAGGCTAGAAGACAGAAGCTGTCAGGCTCAGACGTGGGGAGTGGGATCCTTTTGAAGAACAAATTGGCTCCAGCTTTGAATGTATTTGGTCTCCTCCTCGTTTCTTCTCGCACTGTCTCGCCTTTCCTGTCGTCCACATGCATGCCACATTACCCACTTACATTTTTCCTCATTCATGCCGCTTAACATTGGGGTGCTTTCATGAAACTTACAGACGGCCGTGAGGAAGAAAGCCTCACTGCCTGATAGCCCACAGGAGGGGTGGGGTGGGAGGGCACATACTTGCTTGTGACACATTTTCCCAGGAACCTAGGTCTGAGTCACTTAAAATCTTGCAGTTAACAATGGCTGCTTACATGGGCTTCCCCAGCCCCCAGCTCAGGCCTAAGCAGAGCTGTAGAATGGCCCAGAAAATCTGAGTCCGGTGCCGTTCACTGAACCCCTTCTTTGAGGATTCAGGGGTAAGCCTGCAGACAGGTGCTGCAGTCAGAATCAGTCTCTGAAGTTGCCCTAGTCGGCCTGGCCCTTTGCAAGGAGGGCGGGGGCGGGGGCGGGGGTCTCCCACAAGGCCTGCCTCCTTGGAGACTAAGGAAGCTGTGCTGTCCATGGCTGGGCCCTAGCAAAAGGGAAGTGCTAAGGAGCAGGGATGGGTAGTGTGTGCTATGCCGTGCACACGTCAGCATGGGAATTCCCTGGGGAGTTTTCGATGGTCCATGTCAAGACAGTCTTCCCTAGACCCAAGGTAAGAGGGGAAGGAGGCCCAGACCATGGCGTAGGTAGGAGTGCAGCTCCGTCAGCACGGGCACAGCCAAGCACATCCTTCCTTCACATCCAACTCAGAATAATTTTTTGTAGTACCCACCTTCTGCTTATTGAATCCTAGAAGCATTGAAGGGTACAGAGGGAGGCCATGACCAGCTCCCAGTCAGCAGTCAGGGCTCAGCTCGTAGCCGTTAGGACTACCTCTTTTAGTTACTTTTGTTTAGAAGTGTGACAGGAGCCACAGTGGGAAAGGCTCCTGAACCAGCCTCTTGGACAAGCCAGTCTTTTCGGGTGAAGGGATGCTGTTTTTATTCACACCTAGGACACTCACCTAGAGGGCTAAAGCCAGTGTAGAACCTCACTGCAGTCAGAAGGGTGGAGGCAAACCTGCAGGAATTTGGTCCCATGCTCCAGGAAACCTGGATGCAGTTGTGAAGGGCTCACAGTGCTGCCTTCTCTGTCCTCTGTCCTGTCAACTCCATGGAGCCCCACCCCACAGGAGCCTATGCCCCGCCCCTCCTTTCCTCTGTTGTTTCTGCCGCAGGCTGTGGCTGGCTTCTCCAGCCAAGGCACTTACATTGCTCCATTCTCACCCTGGCCCAGCCTAGGCTCTCATCTTGCAGTCCAGTATCATCTCAGGGGTCACCTGGACGTGCTTGCTCAGCTCGTACTGTAGACTTTCACTCTGTGAAAGATGCTTCTGTCTTGGCTGTGTCTTGTCACTGATGTAAATTTGCCATGGTCTAAATGTTCCCCTGCCCCTGCCCCACCCCCTCCCCCCCTCCCTGGGAGGAGAACTTTGTGTGTTACGCAGCTCACACTTGCCGGAGTGTCTCTTATGGAAGCACATCTCCTTTCACTCTGCAGGTGGTAGGGTAAAGACCTGGAAGAGGCGCTGGTTCATTCTGACTGACAACTGCCTTTACTACTTTGAATATACCACGGTGAGCATCTGTTTTTGCTCTAGCGCAGAATGGGCTCTGTTTGGCCAAAGGGGGCCCTGGGGAAACAATCAGATTTGTTCTTTCACCTCCATGGGGCCAGGGAAGAACTAAAGTCAATCTCGGAATGGGGAGCCTTAACAATGGTGGGGGTGCCTGGCCAAGAAGCTGTGGCCCAGAGCCACAACAGCTGGTTCCAGATGGGGCAAGAGGCACAGTCCTGACAGAAAGAGGAAAGAAAACCACATACCCAGAGTTAGGACTGGTTGGGAGCTGGGCTAGAAAGAATGAGCTTGGATCGGTTGCCAAAGACGACTCTGGCCCCAGTGAAAGGGGTGTGAGAAGACAAGACAGTCATGATCTGGAGAATTCAGATTTGGGGGTTGTAGAAATGCTGAAGGATGGGCTGCAGAAGAAACCGTCTCAGTGGTAAAGTGTGTTACAGAGGAAAGAGCGAAACGAAATGGGAAAAGTTCATCTGAGATTATCTGGAGGTTTGAGAACTTGAAGTTCCATAAGCCATGGACGTTCTCGGTTTTCTTCAGTGGAAGGAACCAAAGTACAAGCGTGCGTCACTCTAGGCACCTTCTGCAGAAACAGGAAGAAGCAATGCGTGAAACCCCATGAGCTTCCCAACTCCCTGAAAGCACGGGTTGCTGTGGTGCTCAGACAGTGCTCCCACCATCATCCTGCATGGCTGTGACACAGTAGGGGTTCTGCCTGCAGCCTGGACTTGGGTCTTGGACTAGGTCACGGCAGCTGACTTGGGAATGGTTTTTGTTCTCCAGCCAGATTGTCACCGAGTAAAAGGCAAGATCCCATTGAGAAAACAGGTTGGAAGTCTCCTTCACAGCAAATGTGGAGTAAGGTGGTGCTTCAGTGAGAAAGCAGCAGGAGAATCACTGCGAATTTGAGGCCAGCCTGGACTACAGAGTGAGACTCTGAGCAGCCCCCCACCCCCAATATACCTGGCTGTATTTAGGCTGCTGGTCGAGCCTCGGGACTTTGCTGTCCTTACCTTAGTAAGCATAGGTCTCGTGCATTGGCTACCTTGCCCCTCATCGAAGGATAGTGATTCCTGTAGGGAATGAGCTGCCTGGCAGTTTCAGGTTGAATTTACAGTCGCTCATGCTAACTTGACTGTGCTTTGTAGCCATGACAGGAAATCAGCCATCTTCCAGGTATTTCCTACCAGGGCCACGCTCGGGCCACCAAAGTTCTGCAACCAGCTTTGCTTTTCTGCATTTAAAATCTTTTCAAATATTAAAACATTGCTTCGTGTTCAAAGGAGTATTAAAAAGGGAGATTCTGTTTTACCCCAAGGTGCCACTCTGAAAAGGTTTAGTGGATTCCTTCCTTTGTCCACCCTCTAGCTTTTCCCTCGTTTGCCTTTGTTCTAAGATACCAACACTAGTGACATCTTGACTCTTGTTTGGATTTTCTCCCTGTTCCCTGGAGGAAAATGAAACATGTATAGGTGTCTGGGCAACGTGTTCCTAAGTCCTGTGCCGTCCCGAGGACTGCTGTGCGGTTCTAGAGTCATGTGGATCTTCACGATGCAGATGCAGCCGTGGTGGCATCATCTTAATGTAGCTGAGCAACATCCATTCAGCACAGCGCAGTATCCGAGCCCCAAGGAGCGATGAGAAGCGTTCTTAAGAGGGTTTATCGGGGGTAGGAGGACAACCTCCTAATGAGGGGCAAGAGCCTCGCAAAGGGAGGGGAGGGGAGACCAGGAATGGCACAGCCAGTTAGGCCACCTTACCCTCCAGCAGTAGGATATGGAAATGGCAACTGGAGTTTCAGGGTGGTTCTGCACAGCCTGGAGGTGAGACTCCGCCTACCCAGTACCCTTGGGCCTGGAGGGAGAAGCAGACTGATGAGAGCATTTGCACCCTCTCTCATCAAGAGCCGGACAGTCCACTGTGGCAGAAGGGTTCATGTGAGGAGGTGATGGGCCAGGACTCACTCTCTGTGATGGAAATGGAGGCACAGGATGGAGCTGGGAGACTTCCTTTGGCGGGGGGCGGGGGGGGACCTCCTGTGCACTGTCCCCTCTTCCCTGGACATTCAGTACACCTCCAGAAGACGGGAAAATCTGGGTTAGCTCTCCCACTTGCTCTCGTCAGACACCGTGGAAAGTGTGCAGTGTAGAAGACCTGGCCCTCCACCCTCCTCAAGGTTGAGTGACTAGGGACACAGTGTAAGAGACTCCGAGGTAAGAGTCTAGAGCCACTTGGACAGTGGCCAGAATAATCTAGAAGGGCAGACAGAACCTCAGCACACAAGAGCCAAGGCTGTATGTTCTTGAAGTCGTTGTAGTGTTGAGAGTTGTGACTCATTCTTTAGCAAGTCCATGAAAACTTTAAGGAGTGAGACACCTTAATTAATGATGCTGTCACTTCCTGGAGGGAAGACAAACACAGCAAAATTAGAGGTGAGCTAATGGGGGACGGGAGATAGTCCCAACACCAGAGTGATTGGAATCTGCAGAATCTAAGCTATGACATGAGGTATCAGTGCAGTTGTCTCCCCTGGAAGAAGGGTAAAGAAATGTGCCCTGGTAGTGAGGAGGTCACGCGGGGGTTCACGACCAGGTGAGTCAGCCTGGCTCTCAGACCACTGGCCGCATAGTAGCGCTGTGATGCTGTCCGGTAAAAGCACATCGCGTAAGCAGTCCTCGCCACAGGGCTCGCAGATCGAGTTCTAGGAGGTTCTGAAGAGCAGGGTACAGAGGGTTGTCCCACAGCACCATTTAAGCAGAACTCGACTACTGGCGTTATCACATGGAAGAAGACATGAAATGTGCACCTGTACTCTTCTTGAAAGATCCTGCCTAACGGTAAATCCAGCCACAAGGAGAGTGAGCTCAAGAAACACCCCAGGAAATGGAAGACCGGCTGGGCACATTGAGCTTGTTCTCTTAGATCTAGAACTAAAGTGCCAAGCCCAGCAGGTGAGGCATACTGACAGGAGGGCTGGTGCTGCACTGTATGGACTGGAGACCAAGATCAGTGTTCACTGATATACAGAGCCAATGGCAGACCCCACCAAAATGTGCAACCCATGCCGAAGACCTCTCCCAGCCACGCTAAAAAGCGGAACTGATGGTAAAATGGACTTAAACAGAACCCAGACCTTGATACTCAAGTGACGAACTAATGCACACGCTTAAAGAGGAACTCACGTTTAAAATATTTTATTTATTGGCCAGGCATGGTAGTGCATGCCTTTAATCCCAGCACCAGGGAGGCAGGGGTAGGGGGATCTCTGTGAGTTCAAGGTCAACCTGGTCTACATAGCGAGTTCCAGGCCAGCTGGGGCTATAGGGAGACCCAGTCTCAAAAAGACAAAAAAAGTAATAAATAAAATACTTTATTTATTTTTTAATTTTTAAATAAACTTTTAATTTTCAATTTTTTTTTTTTTTGTCTTTTTGGGACAGGGTCTCCCTGTAACCGCAGCTGGCCTGGAACTTGCTATGTAGACCAGGCTGGTTCGAATTCACAGAGATCTGCCTGCCTCTGCCTCACAAGTGCTGGGACTAAAGGTGTGTGCCACCACGCCCAGCCAAAACATGATATTTTTCAAAAAGGAGTAACTAAAACGGTTTTTGTATAAGGTTATTTTAAGAACTTTTATTAAATTTTGTGTAATTTAAATGGGACATCCTTTATGAAAGTATCAGGTGAGCTAGCTCCTCTTCACAAACCCGTTCCTCTCCGTCTGCACTTGTAACCACTGCACTCCTGTCAGCAGTGGCCAGCAGTAACTGGATTTTGGAGTGCTTTTAAACTTAACTTTATGCCTTTTTTTAAAGACAGTCAAAAAAACCTTTTTATATGTATGAGTGTATTGCCTGCTTGTATAGAAATGTACCACACATGTGCCTGGTGCCTGTGGAGGCCAGAGGAGGCTGCTGGATCCCCTGGAACTGGAGTTAAAGATAGGTGTTAGCCATCATGTAGGTCCTCTGGAAAAGCAGCAGACCTCTTAGCTGCTGAGCTGTCCTTCCCGCCCCTTTACTTTTATTCTTTTCTGTGTATTTTAACTTCTTTATAATTAGCAAATCTTATTTTTGCAAAAATAATGGTAATTGCTCTAAAAAAAAAAAATCACATAGGCCAAAGGCATTGGCATTGGTAAATTATGTCCTTGTGGGAGAAACATGATTACTGGGCAGAACTGAGCCAGCAGTGAAGCATGCCCGAGGTCTGTTCCTGGGCTTGGTGGCACGGTTCTTTGTTATTTTATTTTTGGTGCCAAGGATGGAACCCAGGACCTCCCAAATGCTAAACTTGCACCTTCCTCCTGAGCTATTCTCCTAGCTCCTCAAGTCCAGAGTTCCAAAGGGACAGAGACCACATTCCGTATTTTGGACTTGACTCTGTTGACCAAGAGCATAGTGTTCAGTTGTTGGGACTGGGATTCTCTGTCTGCTCTCCGGATTCCAGGAGACGAGTGTGTGCGTGAGTTCAGTGGCTCACCTCAGCTATCCTGGGGCTGGGCAGGTGTAAGGAGGGCAGCGGAGGCTGAGTACTAAACAGTGGCTAGGTGGGCAAGGCAGGCCAGCAGCACTGACAGGCTCTTCACTGGCTCCTTCGCTGGTCATAAGAGTCGCCTTCTGAGCTGGTCCTCACTGCTGGGCAGAAGATGGTTTGAGTCCTTCTGGTTTATAACCTCGCATCTAGAACATGCACCATGCACCATGCAAATGTAACCCACTGTCTCAGGCCCCAGAAGTTCAGGAGAACAAATGAAGTCCTATCTTCACTATGGTCTGCCTTAGAATGACTGCAATCAGCCCACTTAAACATCAGCATCATCAAGAAGTTCACGCACCAGGTAACCTGCAGTGAGAATGGAGAGGAAAGATCTGAACTGGGGAAATGAACTGGGAACTGTGGAGGAAACAAAGTGGACACTCCCTTTCCTGCAGCACCCTGGGGCTCCTCAAGAGACGGGGGCCACCACTTATCTCTGTCCTGAAGGATCCTCAGCACTACTAAGGGTTGGGCTGTTTTGTGTGCATAGTAGGGTTAGGTAAACTCAGGCAAATGCATCATCTCCCTCCACTCGGAGGCCTGTGACTCCCGAAGTGAGAGACTGCTGTCCTACAGGAGGGCTCTGCTGCCCCGACCAAGCTTGTAGGGAGCTCACAGTCCAAAGCTTCCTTAGATCTTTGTCCACCACTCTGCAGATGACACAACCAGCAAGTCCAGATGTCGGTGAAGGCCTCTGACCCAAAAGCAGGTATAGACCAAAGCCACTTGCAGGTCTGGGAGGACAGGGGCTCCGCAGGGAAGGACGGATGAGGGGCAGCCTGTTCGTAGTCTTGAAGAGATGACCCATTACAGCTAGGAGCCTGGAACAGGGCCATGGCGAGCCCAGCAAGAAGACAGTCCACAGTCATGTTTGGAAATGAAAAATATACTAGTCATAAAAGCCCAATAGAAGAATTAGAAGGAGACTTCAGAAAAAGTACAATGACAGAGAGATCAGAGATGACACAGGGCAGGAGCGCTGGCCCCAGAGGGTGCTCATGTTCCCCAGAGGATGAGTAAGGCAATGGCTGACACGGGGACTTTAGAACACCCTCGGAGTGAAGGGTGTGCGTCCTGTTGTGGAGGCATACCAGATGCCTGTGGAGCTGTTGAGAAGAGACCTACAGCAAATCAGGGCCTCCCTGAGCCTGAGTACGTGGAGGACAAAGGGAGAGGCAGCAGCTGCCAGGTCAGCTTGGGTTGGAGTGGTGCTGAGAACTGCAGCTGGGTGCCAAGAGTCACAGTTCTCCCCAGTTTGACCCAGCTGAGCTCTCAGTCTGGTGAAGAACACTTCCAACCAAGGGAGAGCCTGACAGCGTTCCCCTGCCCCATGCATCCTCTCTCAGGATGCTGGCAAGGCCTTGACTGTAGGAACTGGGACCTCAAGGCATTAAGCACAGGGACATGTGATGTGTTCCCTTGGCTTCAAGGCCACCAGGACGGGCTTCGCCAAGCAGTTGAGATTAGGAGGACACCTGATACGAACCAGGCTAAGACAGGAGGTTTTTGATCATGAAACGTACACGATTAATTGACGTTGGTGCTAAGTTGATCGAAAAGTAAGCAAAAACTGGATGTACACGCCCAACCCAGTGGAAGGTGAATTTTGGTTCTGGGGTAGGGAGCTTTTCGGGAAAGTTAAGGTAGAGCAGGTTGCCTGCGTGTGCTGACGGAAACCTCCAGTCAGTTGATGAAGGGATGGTCAGGAGACGCTGTGGTCTCTGGGGGTGGCAGCTCAGATGGTACACCGAGACACCAGATTTGGAGCTTCGTACCAAAAAATTGACAGGAACGTGAAAATTGTTACCACAGGTTGGGAAATGGCTGAGATTGCTTTGCTTTTATACAACTCACAGAACTGTTTTTTGCATTTTGTTTATGTGTAACTCTGATCAACCCAAAAGATTTGTGAAATGGCCTCGGCCAAAGTTAGCTGTCTGTTAGGGGTAGAAACATATGTGTCCATGGCGGGGGCCCCAGCTGATGAGGTAGGCAGTGCCCAAGAGGAATGGTCAGGGTAGAGATGGGGTTGAGAATCTGCTGGACCTGAACTCGGGGACCTCTGTAGGTACATGGGAAGCTGTGCAGAAGGCAGCGGTCATGGGTTCTGATGACGCGCAGTGAGTGGGCAGAAGGCAGCGGTCACGGGTTCTGATGACGCGCAGTGAGTGGGCAGAAGGCAGCGGTCACGGGTTCTGATGACGCGCAGTGAGTGGGCAGAAGGCAGCGGTCACGGGTTCTGATGACGCGCAGTGAGTGGGCAGAAGGCAGCGGTCACGGGTTCTGATGATGTGCAGTGAGTGGGCAAAAGGCAGTTTAAAAGACAGCTGGGGCCCTACATCAGGCATGGGCAGAGGTACCTGTGCCAAGGCTGGGAAAGGCTTCCAGGGGGTGCTGGTACAGAGCCAAGACTAAGGAACGTGAGGAGGAAAGCCAGGCACAGACTTGGGAGGAGAAGGTCCTTTCTAAGGGAGAAGAGCTGACGTGTGCCCAGCTCGACGCCCTGTGTGTCACTGTCAGGTGTGCTTGGACGGCATCTGCTGGACCTCCTTGCCGCTCCCTGCCAAGGGCTTTCCGTTTCAGTGCTTACCAACTGTGCCACACACTCCTCATCCTGGTCTTGCCATAGAGCCTGAAGGTGGGCTGGAAGCAGACCTGGCAGAGAGCAGTCAGTCAGGGCGGGTGGTGGGTAGAGCAGAACCGTGTTTCCTCAGCCGGCTGTGACACTTCGCTGCCTGGCCTGTTGTAGGATAAAGAGCCACGAGGGATTATCCCCCTGGAGAACCTGAGTATCCGAGAGGTGGAGGACTCCAAAAAGCCGGTGAGTTGAGATACTTCAGGGTGGGAAGGGGGTGGGCACAGCCATGCTTTGCAAAAGAATGGCATTTCAAAGGCTCTTTAAGATAGGTGTGAGCACCTGAGAAGTCCATCGTGCTTCAGTGTTGCTGTTTTGATTATCCTTAGTGTCCAGACAGGTGACCTTTCTGTTGGTGTTCTGTCCATCTGCTTAGTGTCACCTACTGATTGGGAAACATGGTCTAGAAATCGTCTCTGCTGAAGGGCAGCAGTGAGCACCATAACTGAGTGCTGGCTTTGTCATCTGGAAACACGGTGGGCTCAGGGGACAGCATCTCCCCTGCGGTTTTGAGCATACATCCTGCCTGTCAGGAGCGGAGCCAGTGGGCATCAGGCTGACATCTTAGCCAACAAATAGGCCTGAGAATGTGCAGCTCACATCCGCAGTGTTCAGTGCTTTTCTTCTCCATGGGAAAATATTTGTGCATGTATGCATGTTCGTGTGTGCGCATGTTTGTGTGTGTGGTGCGCATGTGTGTGCAGGTGCAGGTACACGTATGTGCATATGGAGTCCAGAAGTCAACCTCATGTATTGTTGCCCAGAAACTATCTTGCTTTCTGAGGCAGGGTCTCAGGCTCGGGAGAGGGCTCGCTGGGTAAAGCTTGAGGCAAGTAAAGCTTGGTGTGGTGATGTGTGACTGTAATCTCAGCACTGCTGCAGAGATAGGAGATGGCCATATGAGAGGCCCTGGAAGCTTGTAGACCAGGAAGCCTGGCCTAGGCAGTAGAAAAACAACAGAGACCTTGTCTCAAACAAGGTGTAAGGTGAGGCCTGAAGCCCGTGGTTGTCCTCTGACTTCCACACTCATGCCATGACACTCACATACAAAAGATGAGAGAGACAGAGACAGACAGAGAGAGACTGACTGACTGACTGACTTTGACTCTCTCACTGGTGCCTGGGACCCATCCACTGGGCTAGGCCAACTCGCCAGCAAAACCTATCTTGGCTTCCCAGTACTGGGATTATAGGTATATACCACAAAACCTGACTTTTTATCTGGGTGCTGTGGATTAAATTCATGTCCTCAAGGTCCTTGTGCCACCTGACCTATGTCTCCAGCCCTCAATAAGTATAGTATGTGTATATGCATTATATATATAGATTTTGAGACAGTGTCTCCTGTAACCCCAGCTGGACGGGAACTCTCTATATAGACCAGGTTGGCCTTGATCTCACAGAGATCTGCCTGCCTCTGCCTCTCGAGCGCTGGAATCAAAGGCTCACACCTCCACACCCAGTTGAAATGTGTTTCTTGAGGGTAAGAATAGAAGAGTCTTTGGGGAAATAAATAACATTTTCCTTGGTCAGGGGCTTCCTAAAACCTGGCGTCACTCTCTCATTTTCATCTCAGAACTGCTTCGAGCTGTATATTCCTGACAACAAAGACCAAGTAATTAAGGCATGTAAGACGGAAGCCGACGGGCGGGTGGTGGAGGGGAACCACACCGTGTACCGGATTTCAGCCCCCACACCTGAGGAGAAGGGGGAGTGGATCAAGTGCATCAAGTGAGTGCTTTGGAGCACAGGAGAGCTGCTCCCCCAGCCTCGTGCTCCCCCAGCCTCTCCCCCGCAGCCTCTCCCCCACAGCCTCTCCCCCAGCCTCTCCCCTGCAGCCTCTCCCCTGCAGCCTCTCCCCTGCAGCCTCTCCCCTGCAGCCTCTCCCCTGCAGCCTCTCCCCTGCAGCCTCTCCCCTGCAGCCTCTCCCCTGCAGCCTCTCCCCTGCAGCCTCTCCCCTGCAGCCTCTCCCCTGCAGCCTCTCCCCTGCAGCCTCTCCCCTGCAGCCTCTCCCCTGCAGCCTCTCCCCTGCAGCCTCTCCCCTGCAGCCTCTCCCCTGCAGCCTCTCCCCTGCAGCCTCTCCCCTGCAGCCTCTCCCCTGCAGCCTCTCCCCTGCAGCCTCTCCCCTGCAGCCTCTCCCCTGCAGCCTCTCCCCTGCAGCCTCTCCCCTGCAGCCTCTCCCCTGCAGCCTCTCCCCTGCAGCCTCTCCCCTGCAGCCTCTCCCCTGCAGCCTCTCCCCTGCAGCCTCTCCCCTGCAGCCTCTCCCCTGCAGCCTCTCCCCTGCAGCCTCTCCCCTGCAGCCTCTCCCCTGCAGCCTCTCCCCTGCAGCCTCTCCCCTGCAGCCTCTCCCCTGCAGCCTCTCCCCTGCAGCCTCTCCCCTGCAGCCTCTCCCCTGCAGCCTCTCCCCTGCAGCCTCTCCCCTGCAGCCTCTCCCCTGCAGCCTCTCCCCTGCAGCCTCTCCCCTGCAGCCTCTCCCCTGCAGCCTCTCCCCTGCAGCCTCTCCCCTGCAGCCTCTCCCCTGCAGCCTCTCCCCTGCAGCCTCTCCCCTGCAGCCTCTCCCCTGCAGCCTCTCCCCTGCAGCCTCTCCCCTGCAGCCTCTCCCCTGCAGCCTCTCCCCTGCAGCCTCTCCCCTGCAGCCTCTCCCCTGCAGCCTCTCCCCTGCAGCCTCTCCCCTGCAGCCTCTCCCCTGCAGCCTCTCCCCTGCAGCCTCTCCCCTGCAGCCTCTCCCCTGCAGCCTCTCCCCTGCAGCCTCTCCCCTGCAGCCTCTCCCCTGCAGCCTCTCCCCTGCAGCCTCTCCCCTGCAGCCTCTCCCCTGCAGCCTCTCCCCTGCAGCCTCTCCCCTGCAGCCTCTCCCCTGCAGCCTCTCCCCTGCAGCCTCTCCCCTGCAGCCTCTCCCCCAGCCTCTCCCCCAGCCTCTCCCCTGCAGCCTCTCCCCCCAGCCTCTCCCCTGCAGCCTCATCTGCCCTTCAGCCACTGAGAGAGCCTCTAGGGAGGGTTCCCAGCTTACTTCCCAGGATTCCTGCCTGTCATGTCTCCAGCCTGGGTACCCAGAGAACCCAAAGACCCAAAGCAAGGACAGGTGCCACCTACCCAGTGTCATTGAGGGCACAGCTATTCCTGGTGCCAGCTCAGAGGAACAGTGCTCAGACTTTGTAACTCATCCCATGAGACCATTTTCCGAATTACAGATAAGGAAACTGAGGCCCATAGTGGGTACGAGAGCTGCTGAAAGCCATGCAGCAGTGGCGTAAGGTCAGAAAGCCGAGGCAGAGCACCAGCACCCGAAAGTGAAGGCTCCTGGCTCTGGCCGTGTTCCTCTGGGTGTGGGGTCCGCGGTGGACGCGGTCCCATGTCTCCCCAGGAGCTCTGGCAAGTTGGTTTGTAGCTCAGAGGGGGCACGTTTGCCTAGCCCCGGTTCCATGCCTGCCGCACACGTGCCACAGCCACGAGACCACTAGAAGCAGTCACACAGAATCCCGGTCGGCAGCACTGTGGGCCTGCCTTGCCTCGTCGCCACCGACTCTGCCTAACAGTGGTGTTCCAGTCACGCCCCCCACTGACTGGGTCAGCAGCGTGGCTGTCCACCTTCTGCCCTGGGGTGCAGCGGCAGCAGACACGGGCACCCGTAAATCCCCCATACAGTCCACGACGGCCTCTCGGATGCCGTGCGGGGTAACTGTGTGTGACACGTTGATTTCATGGCGCTCAGGCTGCAAAGGACAATCAGTTGTTACTGAGGACCGCTGAAGCCCCATACTCAGAACACACCATGGGAACGCACAGGGACGCCATCCAACATTAAGTGATCATTTGAAACAGGCAGCAGCCCTCCTCATTTACCTTTGTCGGGTGTTCCCGTGTGACTCTTTCAAAGTGTGTCACTTTGAGCTTCTCTGTGGACAGAGAGGGCGGACCCCACTTGGCCTTTCTGGTGATAGCTGAGCAGCGCTCCTGGGGTGGCCTGGGCCAGGCTCCTGACACCCCTCACGTCTCTGTTCTCTTCCGTCTCTAGGGCAGCCATCAGCAGGGACCCTTTCTATGAGATGCTCGCAGCACGGAAAAAGAAGGTCTCCTCCACAAAGAGACACTGAGGGCATGCCAGGCACGCTGGCCCACGGAGCTGCGGCCCTTTCTCCTGCCTCCACGAGGGGCGCCTCGTTGGAGCGGGAGTGCCGAGGGCCCCTCAGCCAGTCTTCACCTCTTCCTAGAGACTAGCTTCAGCTTTTGCAATTTTCTAAATGGGAGAAGGGTGCGCGTTGATGGCCAGGGCTGGACCCCACCACCTGCCACGCAGGGCTCCGGAGCCTCTGTCAGAGCAGCTGTTGGCCGTAGAGCAGTACTGTGACCCCAGGCCTTGATGCCACAGGGCACTGCTGATTACCCTGCAGTGCTCCAGCCGAGGGCTGGCCTTTACCTCCGCTTCATAAATACCTGTGAGGATAGAGTATGTACTTAGGAGAAAGGTGGATAGGAAGAGAAGCCACGTACTATAAAGGTTTATTTTTGTAAGCCGGGCGTGGTGCTCTCCGCCTTTAATCCCAGCACTCGGGAGGCAGAGGCAGGCGGATCTCTGTGAGTTCGAGGCCAGCCTGGTCTACATAGTGAGTTCCAGGACAGCTGGGGCTACAGGGAGACCCTGTCTCAAAAAGGCCAAAAAAAAAAAAAAAAAGATTTATTTTGTTTTTTAAAAAAGCAAAAGTGAAGGTGGCACTGGGCCTGCCCTGCCTTCCTGGGGAGCCCACAGACGGGCCCAGGGCTGCCGGCACCCCAAGAGCTGCTGCCCCTTGACCTGTGTAGGCAAGAGGGGTGAAAGCAGAGCGGTGAGCAAGGCCCGCAGACCAGGGGCTCCAAGGCAGCAGGCTCCAGGGGCCCTGGTAGCGTGGCGGGGGCATAGGCAGGCAGTGTGGCTAGCTCCTACCCAGTGCCTGCAGGGCAGGGTAAAGCTAGGCCTGATTGGACACCTCCCTGCCGGCCCTCGGAACCCAGGCCCACTGACCTTTAAAGTAGAAAGTTAGCATTTTCCTTGAGCTAAATACCTAATAACCAAAACTGTGAGGAGGCCATCCCACCAGGTCCCGGGATAGCCTGACTGTTTCATATCTGGTTTTTCTTTCTCCCCCAGAACTCCACTCCTCGTTCTAGAGGAAGGAGTAGGTCTTACCTGATCCCAGTGGGGCTCAGCCTTTTCTGCCTCAAAAGCGGCCCCAACTGGACTATTCTGGTGCACTCTGTGGTAGCCTCCAGGGGCAGGGGCCTTGCTTGTCAGAGTGCAGGGAGGTCAGCGAGGGTGAGGCAGCCTCTCTGTCCCCTTGCCCTCCATGGCACGGCACACCACGGCACTTGTGTAAGTCGGCCCTGGCCTCCTAACTCAGTGTGAAGGGAGCCATGCAGCACAGCATCGAGTGCCGTTCTCTCAGGGACTCTCAAGGGCAGCTCCTGCTCCTTGGCCAGGGCCAGCATACCAGTCTGGGCAGAGCAGGTGGCAGGCGGCGTTTTGGCACATCCCTCCAAGTGTGGGCATGCCCCGCCACATGGCCAGGGCCTTGGCGGCAGAACGCTGCCTCCAGGCAGGTGAAGGAGCCGTGGGCCCCAGGGCTGTGTGACCTCAGCTCCTCTGATCCCAGAAGGCAGGTTAGCATCTCTGGAAATAGCTTTGCAGACAAGGGGTGAGTGTGGGGGCTGCACTCTGCCCCCTTCCTGTGGATCCCACCTGGAGTGGCTTCAGGTGCTGGAACATGTGATGGTGATAGTGACAGAAGAGGGTCCCAGCTAGAAACCTGAGCTTCCTGGTACAGAGCCAGGCAGTGCCAGCCCAGGTTGGGGTGGCAGGCCAGTACCAGAGCCCCTCCGACTGGCCTGTTCTTCAAACTGGTTGTCAGAGATGTTTCCTGGACAGACGGGCACCTGGATCAGTATTAGACTATTTATCAGAGGTGTAAATAATCCATGTATAGTTTTTCTCCTTTTAGATTATTTTGTATTTGTTTAAAAAAAAAGATTTGTCAAAATATAAAGAAATGACTGAAAGTTGTTGACAGGGTTTTTAAAAGTTACTCCAATTGTTTTGTTTGTTTTTGCCTTGTAAACTAGCGCCAAGGAACTGCAGCAAATAAACTCCAAAACTGTCTGAACCTCCTTTGTTGTCTGCGTGGCTGTAGCCCCTTTGGAGGGGTGGGATGTTGGCTGTGGTCCTCTGGCCAGATTTGGGAGCTGTGGGAGGGGAAGGGCTGGCTGGTGGTGCTTGTGAGTGTGCCCCTGTGGGGGTGTTGGTCCTGAGTGATCAGAAGTTGGGGTGGCGTAATAGGATGAGAATTGACTTAGCCTTTGCCCTCTCTGGGGATGAAACCCAACTTCAAGAAGGAACAAGAATCCACTTTGGTCCCCTGCAACATTGTTCTAGTTAGGCAAACAAGCAAGACCAGGAAACAAAGGTCTCCAGACCAGAAAGGAGGAAGTAAAGTTACTTTGCAGTTGTTGTGACTGTGTATATAGAAAACCTTAAGGACTCTCCAGACAGTTCCTAAGCTGATAAAGGATTGCAAGACACAACACCAGTATGTAAAAAATTAACTGCTTTCTTTTAAAACTTTTCTTGAAAAAAAGGGTCTTTATATTTCAGGCTCCTCTTGAAGTGTCTGTGCAATTGAAGATGACCTTGAATTTCGGCTGACCCTGCCTCCCTCCATCTCTGGAGTGCTGAGATTCCAGGCCTGCCCCACCGTGCCCAGTGTATGCAATGCTGGGATTGAACCAAGGCAGCCCGCATGTCAGACAAGCACGCCACCAACCCAGCTATGTTCCGAGCCTGAGAATCGGCTACCTTCAGTGTATTATCAATGTACAGCCTCCTCCAAACTAAAACTAAGAAAACAATTCCATTTGTTACCAGGAAGAGTAGCATATTTAGGAATAAGTGTTTTCAAAGTATAAGGCTTACTGAAAACTATAGACCTTGAAAGACAACAAAGATGGACCGAAACAAAGCGAGATTTAATATTAAGATGATGCTCGACAAACTGAAGTTAAAAAGCCAATTGCAGGGGCTGGAGAGATGGCTCAGCGGTCAAGAACACTGACTGCTCTTGCAGAGGACCCGGGTTCGAGTCCCAGCACCCACATGGTGGCTACGAACCGTCCTTAACTTTTAGTTGAAGTTTTGAAATCCAGTCCCTTTAGCCGCTTCCTCTGCCACAGGCTCTCACTGTGACACACTACTTTGTCAAAGGTCCAAAAGCAATGGGACAACTCATCATAGACAAAACCTTCAGACCCTGAGTCAAAATAAGTGTTTCCTCTTTTTGTGGATTTTCTCAGAAATTTTGTCATAATGACCCAAAGCTGAGTCATACAGACCTGAATATGAAATCATTTTTCCCCCATTTATTAGTCAAGTCAGTCTATTTTCTCATCTAATGATAGAGTTAAAAAATACCAGTCTTGGGGCTGGAGAGATGGATCAGCGGTCAAGAACACTGACTGCTCTTGCAGAGGACCCGGGTTCGAGTCCCAGCACCCACATGGTGGCTACGAACCGTCCTTAACTCCAGTTCCAGGGGAATCTGAAGCCCTCTTCTGACCTCTGTGGCATTGCACAAAACAGGTGCACTCACATGTAGGCAATATACTCATACACATAAAGTAAAAATAGATTTTTAAAAAGTCAATGCAATCACTATTAAAATTCCACCTGCCTCTTGGTGGAAATAAAAGCCTATCCAAAGATTCATGTGGAAATGCAGGGGACCAAGAAGTTTTTGAGACAGGGACCAGCCGGTCTGGATCTTCCTATATAAACCAGGCTGGACTCCATCTCACAGAGATCCTGCCTCTGCCCCCTGAGAGCAGGTTCTAATTTTAAAACTCAGCAAGACCAAGACTATGGTGGTGGCGTAGGGGCGGATATATCAGACCAGAATAGGCGTCTTGAGAGTGCAGAAACGAACACTTGCGCTTAAGTGCAGTTGGTTTTAGGCAGGGTACCAAGATGTTTGGTAGAGAAAAGAACCATCTCGGCAATAGTATTGGGTATCTGGGTATCCCCGTGTGAAGGGATGAAGTTAGACCCATCCCTCATCTTGTCTATAACAACTCAGGATCAAAGACCTGGATACAAGGAGAAAAACACCACAGCGACTGGCTAGGACGGGATCAGACATGAAGCCGGAGCACACAGAAGGTAAACGCCCACGAGTCCATGTGCCATTGAACCTGGGTCACTTCCGGTGCCACACATGGAGAAGCTGGTCCCCGCATCCCAAGCGCCCACCAGCTGGGTGCCTTGTGATCCAAATCGGTGGTGACAAGGTCCACCAGAAGGCAGCAAGCGTCTCGTCCTGCAGGATGGCTCAGTCCCCAAGGCTGCCCCACCTCTGCCACTTCACATGCCAGTCACAGTCTTGGCTTGTTCAACTTTTGCTTCTTACCAACTGGCTATAAACTGGGGCCCCACTGGGAAGCCCATCGATTACAGAGGAAATCAAGGAGGGCACAGGGCAGGGACGCGCCCCTGAGGAACCTCCAACCCTGTCCTTGGTGCATGGAGCCTTCACTGGACATCAGTGCATACAGACTGGGTGGGGATCCCCAGCAGGGCCTGCCTGTCCAGAGTCTTCCTGGCCTCTACGGCATTTCTCCCTCCAGGGGGTGGGGCAGGACCCTCAGCTTGACCTCATGAAGAAGAAGAAGTGTGATTCCAAGATTTTGCTATAGGGGCCAGCGAACTGGCTCACTGCCACACATGATGACCTGAGTTTGATCCCTAGAACCCACATAGTAGGAGAGAACTAACTCCCGTAAGTTGTCCGCTGATATTTACGTGCACTGTGGACTGGTGTGTCCTTACACTTACACAATGCACACACACACCACACAATGTAATAAAAAAATCAAAGATAATGCATACCTTCTAAAACTCACGTTGAAACAGAATTGCCATCATAACACCATTAAGAAACGGGTTTCAGGGCTAGAGGGACGGCTCAGCAGTTAAGAGCACTGGCTGCTCTTGCAGAGGACCTGGGTTCTATTCCCTGCACCGACATGGCAGCTAACAATTGTCCGACGCCCTCTTCTTACCTTCTTGGCACTGTACAATACGGTTGCTCTTACATACATGCAGGCAATACGCTCATACGCATAAAATTTTAGAAAAAAAGAAACGGGTTCTGTGAGCAGTATTTAATGTCTCTATTGGGGTGAGAAGCAGGTGCCTCCAGGTGCCCCTTTCTCTCATGTTTCCTGACCTGGTGTTATGGTTTGAATATGAAGTGTTCCCCAAAAGAGCTCATGTACTGGGGACTTGGTCTCCAGCTGGTGGAGCTATATTGGAAGGTTCTAGAGACCCTGGAAGGCAGGGTCTTGCTCGAGGAAGTAGATCACCAAGGGCATGTCTTGGGCAGCTGTATCTTGTCCCCTCTGTCTTTCTCTGCGTCCTGTCTGCCATGAGGCTGGCAGCCTCTGCCACATGCTCCTGCCATCGAGATGCGGTGCCTCTCACAGGCCTAGGTCTGGGAACTAAAACCTGAAGCTCTGAGCCCAGACGAATACTTCCTCTCTTTCAGCTCCCAGGGATCTGTCTGGGTGAGAGCTGTGGAGCGCAAAC